GCTGCCACCTGGGATCTGCTCTTCCAAGTCCCAGAGACACCCACCTCCCCAGCCGTTTCTCCTTTCCTTCTGGGTGCATCCTCCCCTTAATGCCCGGTGCCCTGAGAGCTGCCATCAGCCTCATCTTGGTTGGCACGTTGTTCGCGGTGGCAGCAGAAAGGTCTGTGGATCATTTGCATCCTCGCCCAAGGATGGTGACACTGCCAGGACGGGACAGTGTTTGGGTCCGTTGTTCACAGGTGAGCTGTGAGCTGTGAATTGGAGCCAACGTGACACCACCTGGCCACAGCAGCTGCCCCAGGAGTTAGGCAGAGGCGCTGAGAGAACAGACCCCTTCAAAGAGGAAGCTGAGAACTCTGAGGATCAGCCCTGCCCGGCTCTGGCGTCCCTCTGGCCAGCTCCTGCAGATGGAAGGAGGTGGATTTATTCTGTCAGAAACGCCTGGATTGCCTTTGACAAGAAGGACTCAGAGGGCAGCCTGGAGACTGAGATCTTGTCTGATCAGCTCTGCTTCCACGGACAGCCGGGCTGGCAAGCCCAAACCTGCCTGCTTTTGAAGCAGACCTCTGGCTGCTCTGAAAGCTCCTCGGCCCTCCCCTTGCTGCTCCGGAAAGAGGGTCCCAGCAGCCTATCCTCTCCAGTGGCCCGCATCTAATGTCTGAGCCAGGTTAGACTCCAGGATGTCTGTGTGGTTCAATCTCAAAGCAGCCCTGAGCCCTGCGCCGTATCTCGTCTCCCCACTCTACAGTGGAAGCCTGTACCTGGGAGATGGGGAGCCGAGGGCCCAAGGTCCTAGGTGGGACCGAGGGACAGAACTCAGTCTGGCTCCTAGGCACCTGTTTTTGGCATGTTTGCCAGGGTACCAGAGGGGTCCCCAGCAACCTGTGATTTCTTTCACGAGGTTTGGGGTGCCAGAAGGAATGAATGGTGTGTCGGCATGTTTTTGAAGGCGTTATGAACAAGGTCCAAAGGCAGCAATGTATCAGTCATTGTACACAGCATGCACTTTCTCACATGCGTGCGTTCACACACACACACACACTGTTTTACCTGCTCATAGTGTTTTATGAGCACATGAACTCTGAGGGGCGGGGAGGGTGGGGAGCGACTATGACTTACCTGGGGCAGCCGGAACTAGAAAGGAGGCTTATCTGGTTATCAAGATACCAAGCTGCTCATAAAAAAACCATTTTTACCTGTAGTCACTTCTATCTAGTAAGTAAGAGAGTCATGAAGTGAGCCAAATCCATTCAGCTCATCAGAGTCGGACCCAGGACTCAGGTCTTGTTCCCAGCCAGCATTGCCCACTTGTTCCTTCCCCAACTGCCCCTGTTCCCTGAAGTCCCTGTGGAACTAGCTGCCCTGAGAAATGGCAGCAACTCGTGCAACCCCAGGCAGTCGGCAAGCGGAGTCAGACAGACTAACAGACACAGGGAAGAGTCCAGGCTTGCTGTCCCATCCTGGTCACACACATGAGCTCGTCGCCTGCGTCCTGAGAGCCACTCTGTGGCTGAAGCAGTTTCAGACTGGGACCCCTTCAGGTCAGCGGGACCATAACTGCCTCAGGCAGAGGCTGGAAGCGTCGGTCTGGGGACAGCTGTCGTCATGGCAGCCTGCGTCTCCTTGAGGTTAGGAAGAAGTGGCGGGGAGTCCTCTCAGATCTGATGCTCCCCATTCCCAGGGGAATACAGCGAGGCCCCACTCTGCAAGGCATGCTGCTTCCTGAGAGTGAGTGAGTGAGTAAGAGAAGAGAGGGGCAGGGGCAGGGAGAGAGGGGGAGAAGTGTGCTTGTGTGTGTGTCTGTGTGTGTGTGTGTGTGTGTGTGTGTGTGTGTCTCTCAAGTCCCCTGGGTGGTACAAATGGGTAATTTGCTCCACTATTAATTGAGAGAGGGGGAGAAGGGTGTGGGTGTGGGTGTGTGCGTCTTTCTCTCTCTCTCTAGCCCCTTTGGTGGTACAAATGGGTAATTTGCTCCACTATTAATTGAAAGCTTGGTCATTCAAACCCACCCAGAGGCCCTTTGGAGGAAAAGCACGGTGATTTGTTTCTGAAATGTCACAACCATGACAGTTCTCTCTGAAACAAACGAGGTGGCCAAGAGTCAGAAGTGACTTGATGGTAACTAACAATGAGGGCTAGTTAGCTAGTTAGTTAGCTAGTTAGTTAGTTAGTTAGTTAGTTCGTTCGTTCAGCAGACACAGACGGATGTAGTTGTTCAGCACAGCCGGTCAGTTCTGACTCACGGAGACATGATGGACAACAGAACACAATATGGCCATGCCCTGTGCCACCCTTACCATCCTGGTTCTGTTGAAGCCCATGGGGGCAGCCCCTCTGTCGATCCATCTCCCTGACAGTCTCTCTTTTTTGCTGACTCTCTCCTTTACCAAGTAAGGGATCCATCTCCAGGGACTAGGCCCTCCTGATAAAACGTCCAAAGTCCATGAGATCAAGGCTCACCATGCTGACGTCTAAGGTATATTCTGACTGTGCCTCTCCCAAGCCTGTGTTCTTCTGACAGTCCACAGTGCTGCCAGTCATCTTTGCCACACTGTAATTCAAAGCCACCCACTCTTCTGCAATCTGCCTTATTCCTGTGCAGCTTCACATGCCTGTGATGCGATTGGAAAGCTGGTTCAGATGAGTGTGTCTGAGTTCCTTCATAGTGCCATCCTTGCTCTTCAAAGACTACGGTGCGTCTGATCCAAGCCGGGGCATCTGCAATTGCATCATGCTTGAAAGAGGTCTGGGGCAGCAGGTTTGCCCAGTGCACAGCGCCATTGGCTCTCCTGACTGCTGCTTCCATGAGCATCGGTTGTGGGTCCTAGCAAGATGAAATCCTTGACAGCTGCAATCTTTTCTCCATCAATCGTGATATTGTCTACTGAGAACATTTTGAGGATTGGGGTTTTCTTTACAGAGATGGATTTGTGTTGATGGGCACATGGGGGTCCATAAAATGTCCCTCTGCTGGGGTCATTGTGGTTGCACACAACAGAAACCCACACGAGGCAGCTCAATGAGAAAGAAATTAAAGAAAAACAAGCATCTGTTAGGAGATACATTGTATGGAATCAAAGAGAGAATTGAAAAACCAGCACCTGGGAGCATCATTAACCAGGCTACCTGAACCCCTCCACGGTCAATACTCAGACGCCCCCAGAGGACCACTTGCCAGTAACATCAGCACTATCGCTTCCTGGTCCAGAGTTCAAAGGGTGAGGAACTGACTGGCTCAGCTTGGAGCCAAGTACCCACTCTGTACACTCTGTCTCAAGCAGGCCTTGGTGTAGAGCAGTCTTGACCCCTGGGGGAGAGGGACTGTAGAGGTGGACACTCCTAAGGACTGGCTTTCATAGTCACTTGAGGCTCATGTAGCCACAGAGAGGCATCGGAGAGCTCTGGGGGCGTAGTGGTTACAGGTGAGACTGCTAATCACAGGGTCAGCAGTTTGAAACCACCAGCCGCTCTGGGAGAAAGATGGGGCTTTCTACTCCCATAAGCAGTTACAGTCTCAGAAACTCAAAGGGACAGTTCTGCCTTGTCTTGTGGGGCAGGTCACTGTGAGTCAGCATTGACTTGATGGCAGGGCGTGAGAGGGGCTGGTCCATGAGGTAGGTCTTGGGCTGGTAACCATGAGGCTGGCAGTTCAAACCCACTAGCAGCACAGAGGGAGAAAGACGAAGCTGCCTGCTCCTGTAAAGACTTAGATTCGCAGAAGGCCTCCGCAGGGTCACTGGGAATCAGAATCGACTAGGTGGCAGTGGGTCTTGTTCTGCCTGTGTTGTAAATGAAAACATAAGCACAAAGGATATTCAGGGGGAGTTAAAATGAACTCCTGGTGCAGCTCCTAATCACGCCCTCTGCACCGGGAATTGATAGACGCTGAACTAGCTGGGGCCTTATGGGTTGAGCACACCTGGAGTCAGCAGTCACCCTGCACTGCAGCGCTGCGGCCCCCTGGCTGGGGCTTGGAGCACCTCCTTGCTACTGTGGGGTCGATTCCAACTCATAGTGACCCTGTAGGACCGTGAAGCACGCCCCTGTGGGTTCCCAGGACTGGAGCCGTAACTGCACAGAAGGAGGAAGCCTCAGCTTTCTCCCACGGAGCGACTGCTGGTTTCCAACTGCTGACCTTGTGGCTAGCAGCCCAACTTGGAAACTACTCTGCCACCCGGGCTCCTGCTTAAGGCATCCCTACTAGGAAGTGGCTCTTTCTGCTACCGTTTTAGGGAGGAGGGACCCAAGACACTTAGCCGGAGTGACAAGACACAGAATGTGTCAGAGCCAGGATTCGCATCAACTCTGTCCATCAAAGGCAACATACTGCATGGCCCTTCCTGTGCCTGCCCGTCTTCCAGCCCCATTGCTAGCCACCCACGGAGTTCTCCTCTGTCCTATAGGCGCGCTGCGACTCCAAGGTAGAAAGGCAGACCAGTCTAGGCGGGCCAGTGCCACCCATCAGAGGAGCTGAGGCAGGAGGAGAGCTCTCCCACCAGTAGGCGTGGGTATCCGAGCTCCATCTTCCCAGGCCCTGGCTGCAAGATGAGGACTCTGTCCCTGCGTTGGGCCGGCCGAACCTGGCTGGCGGGGCTCAGAACCACCCCAGGGGGCTCACATTACACAAGGGCGGGGCTTTCCCTAGCCCCTCCTAGCAGTCTAGCCCTCTGCTCACTCTCTAGAAAGACTCTCAGCTTTATCCTGGTAATGCCTGCGGGTGTTGTGAGTTAGTTACCCGTGGGCTGCTAACCTCCAGGTCAGCACTTTGAAAGCACGAGCCACTCTTGGGGCGGCGGGGAGACGAGGCTTTCTACTCCCTGAAAGAATTAGTCTCAGAAACTCGGGGGAGGTGCGGGGGGGAGGGGGAGAGGAGGCTTTCTACTCCCGGAAAGAATTAGTCTCAGAAACTCACGGAGCAGTTCTCCCTACACTTCCTCCAGGGACAGTTGTTGCCTGGCCTCAGGGGGGCCCTGACTCCCCGTCTGCCCCTCTCTTTCCAGGAAGTCTGTCATCCAGCTGGACCTGGCCCACACCAAGAAAGCAATGATCGTCCCGGCATTCGAGACGCTGCGCTACCGGCTCTCCTTCCCCAAATCGAAAGCAGAGCTGCTGTCAATGCTGGACATGGGGACCCTCTTCACCTTCAGGTGAGTGCTCCTCGCTGCCGTCCCAGGGCCACCCAGAGACAGCCTCTCTCCCGGGACACTTAGTACAGGGACAGGGTCACAGTCCCTCAAATCCCCATGAGGTGCAAACAGTTGGCCCTAAACTACTAACTGAACCACTTGACTCCCCCGCACCCCCTGCTCCTGGGGAAGACAGGTCTGGCAGTCTACTTCTGCAAAGACTGCAGCCGCAGGCAAACCTTGCTAAGGAGCTTGGTTCTACCCTGTGACAGCCAGGGTCACTGAGTCAACAGGCTTGCTTTTTCTGGTTAATGACAACCGCCCTGCCTTCTGCGCTGGCCAGCAGGCCATCCTGAGGATCACTGTTTGGGGATGAGCCAAGGGAAGCCGCAGTTCACTCAGAAGACCAGAACTAGCCCTGCTGCCCCCCAACTGGACCGTGCAACCTTCCCCTCCACTTAGCAGCTCAGCAAGCTAAGTATAATTTATGCAAGAGCAAAAGGCAGCTGGGTTAACAGAAACACTTTGCTGTGCGAGATTGTCACAGCTCCTACGTGGCCAAGGTGGGATTTGAGCCTTGGTCTGAGGGTCCCACTCTGCCCCGCTTGACAGCTAATCTATGATAAAGCCATTGCTTGGGCTCTTCCCATCCCATCAAAGGCTGCAGATGGCAGGACTCTCTGCTCAGCCATTTACAGGTGGAAATGAACTCCTGTGGTCTGAGTTCTGGGTTAGACGAGAGAACAGCATCCTAGTGCCATCCTTCCTTTTCACGTCTTGTCAAAATGCCATTCCTGCATCTTTTGTTCTGCTTGCGTTTAATGACTGTGGTTTTGGTGGAAGCTGCTGAGGTTCAGGCTCTTGCTGAGCCATCTAGCCGAGCAATTCAACTTTCAAGTCTGCCTATTGGCCAGGGCACAGTCCACCCCTGAATCATCCTTGGAGCGTCAGTAGAATTGGATCCTCAGGGCGGAAAGAGCAAAATCTGGAAGCAGTCCTGCTCCCTGCCCGAAGAGCTTCCCTAACCACACCAAACACATCCCCTCACCGGAGCCCTCCCTTCTCCCTACAAAAGCCTCTGGGTGACTCATGGGCAAACATTCTGCTGCTAACCCAGAGGTTCACCAGTTCAAAGCCACCTTGAGATGCTTCAGAAGAGATCCCTGGACACCAGCTTCCAAACGGTCACAGCCTATGGAGACTCTCCGGGGTGCGTGCAGTTCTACCCGCAAACACCCGGGGTCACCATGAGTCGGCATTGACAGGTTTGGGTGGTCTCCCTACAGGAGGCTGTCGAGTTCCCCTTGTTTCTTTCCACTGAAGAGCCTTTGCTTTCTAGTTGTTCACATTATTGTCCCCCAGCTCCTTCCTCTCAGGCCCTGTTTGTGGCTTCCGACTCCCATCTTTTTGCCACTGCTTGGCAGCGTGCAGGGGCATATTCCTGGCCCACGGGCAGCATGCGCCTCTGGCAACTTTGAAGGGTTTGTTTTTAGTTTTTTGTTTTTAACTTTGAAGTTTTTAGATTCCTCCTTCATTTCATTCAGTTCAGAGTAGCATTCCCAGAGTACTTGGTCTGTAGGTTCTGGGAGACAGAAACATAGAAAGAGAGGTAGCCTGGTTGGTAAGGGTCCTGGCCCTTGATCCTCTAGAGCCAGGTTTGAATGCCAGCTCCACCACCTAACTATGTGTAGCTTGACAATGGGTACATTAGGAGAATTTTCCAAATAGGTTTAAGGAACATTTTGTTGTAGAACATGCATATAAAAACCCTATACCGATTCTGTCGTTTCTATACGGACCATTTCATGTTGACATTGACTTCATTCTAGACTCGTTCTTGCCCTTATTTTTCTGACATGTTCCTCCCTCATTAACATAAACCCACTGCCTGCAAGGCCCCCCAAGACTCCTTTGAGTTGCTGTTGTCAAGTTGACCCCAGCAAGATGGTTCTTTTTCT